AAAATCATTTTCAATTACATTTTTCAGATCAGACCAGTCAGTGCCTTCATATAATATTGCAGTATCATCTGCAAAAAACTAGTTATTTTGCCAACACAATTAATTTGGAAAATATCATTTAAATATATATTGAATAACAGCGGACCTAGTTCCTTGTGGGACACCATACTTAATATACATTTCTTTACTAAATGATCCTGATATCTGCACAGATTGTGGACGATTTGACAAATAATTTTCGATCAGTGAGTACGCGTTTCCTCTGAAACCAATGCTCTCCAATGCTTCTAATAATAATGTGTGATTAACTGTGTCGAAAGCTTTGTTTAAATAAACAAAAATGCAGATTGAAGGGATTCTGTTATCAATATTTTGATGTATTTGATTTACAATTTTAGTTATTGCGTCCGATGTAGCCTTCCCTTCTGTAAATCCATATTGATTTTCACTTAAAATTTTGAATTTTGTGAGGTATCGAATCACTCTAGTAGATAAAACTTTTTCAAAAACTTTTGCTACACTGGATATTATTGATATTGGTCTATAGTTGTTAACATCTGTTTTTGTTCCTGATTTATGTATCGGTATTATATTACCTTTTTTTAAAATTGAGGGATATATAACAGATTCAAAGCATTTGTTGATTAGGTAAGTGAGTGGTTCTGTTATGTCCTCGGCTATAATTTTCAAATGCTCGCTTTTAATGCTATCCAACCCAGGACTTTTTCGATTTTTTAAGGACATAACAGTGGTGTATACTTCACATTGCTCGACTTTACCCAAAATGAATGAGTTCAAAGATCTTTTTGGAGGCTGAGTATTGGGTACATTTGCTTGTATATTACTTGCTAAATTTTCGCCTGTGTTAGTAAAAAATTGTACAAATTCATCGCATATTTGTTGAGTATTTTTTAATACTGTTGTAATTAACTCAGTGACACACTCTTTAAATTTTGTTTTCCCAGTTATCTCATCAATAGTTGTCCAAAGCCGCTCAGGATCATTTAAGTTATTATTCAATTTATTTAGGTAATGTTTTCGTTTGGTTTGCCTTGCAAGCTCTATAAATTTATTTTTATATTGGTTGTAGCAGTCGGTATTATCTGTAGTTGGCGTTAGTTTCATTACATTATATAGTCTTTTTTTTCTATTGCCGATGTTATTAATCCTTTGGTAATCCAGGCATTTCTGCTTTTCTCTTTGTGACTAATTATTACTTTATTGGTACTAATATCTATTAGTTTTTTTATTTTCTCTATGAACAGTCCCGTTGCTTTGTCTATATTATTTCTAGAGTATAATTGTTCCCTTGGATTCTTGTTTGACATTTGATCTTAGTTTTGAATTGTCGACAAAAAATTTGTAATTTTCCTGGTTGTTATTAACGGTAGGGATGTTAGAATGTTTTTCATTTGAAGATATCAGTAAAATAGTGGCGAAGTGGTCAAAAATATCGCTTTCTAGGATTATTGGTATACAAGTAATTTTGTTGGATAGGTCTTTCACAAAGCAGTGATCTATACATGTGCCACTGATGGACCTTATAGGTAGGTTTATATAGGACAGAAATCCTTTACTTGATAGGACATTCAAGTATTCATTTGTGATGGAATCATCGTCCAAAATATTTATATTGGAGTATGGATGTCTTCATTGATGATTAGCAACACGCTGTTTCAGGGCAGCGAAGAGACTCGCGACAAAGAAAGCATCCCGAGTACGGTGACTAATACATGACAATGGTTTCGAGAAAGGTAATTTCTAGTCGGAGAAGGCCGTCTACTCGAACGAAAAGCAACAGACAATTTTCTAGCGGAGCCAGCCGGAGCGCTGGCTGTTTCTTTGTAGCGGAACTTTCCTTTAAACCAATCCGCGCCCTGTAAACAAGCGACTGGCAACTTCAAAGCCGACTAGAAATCATTTTTGCATAAATGAATACCTAACGAAAAACAGACAGTGCCATTGTTCACTTTCATGGAAAACTCGCTGCCTAATTATGCGGGTCTCCATGACGAGACAGCGAGGTTGGAGACAGTCTAGGATGGATGAATACTTTGAGCACGAAGACTAGAGGTGGGAGGTTTGACTAAGCGAAAAATACACGTATTCGTATGAAGCCAATCCTATCGCCAAGGAAATCTAGTGAGCGTAGAGTATGTACGGATCGAAGAATGTCAACATAACCTGCTGCAATCTTTGTGTACATTTCATTCACATTTTGCCATGCTTTGTACGTTTATTACTTCGTGGCTTATTAATATTATCGAGTATTTCCGCTTGCAACTATCCGTACTGTCAAAATTGTAGTTGTTTAAGGTCATGGTGACAGCAACACACACACACACAGAGAGAGAGAGAGAAACAGATACCACATTCCCAAAACCTTGCGCGTTGTACACACGAGAGAAATGCCCTATGCGTAGCTCCTGAAATTCATTATCTTACTTCTTGGTTGATATACTAAGTGACATATAAATCCGAACACCCAGTTTAAATGGTTTTATTTTAATAAAATTTTGTATAAGTACTTAATGAAGCATAATAAGTAAATGATAAAAATTTCAAAATGATTGCACTGCTTTAAAGCCCTTTGACCTTTAATAATGTGTAGATGCACCCTGATGTGCTACGCATTCTCCAACGCGCCTAGGCATGCTTCTGATCAGGTGGTCAATATCCTCCTGTGGTATCTCATTCCAGGCAACCACCAACTCCTCTCGAAGTGCTTCTAGAGTCTGAGGAGGACGTTGCAAATTGAGCAATCTCCTACCCATCATATCCCACACGTGCTCAATTGGAAGATCTTGGTGGCCATGGTAACAATGTGACATCATTATGTTGAAAGAAGTCTATTGTGACTCTTGCAACATGTGGTCGGGCATTATCTTGTTGGAAAGTTGGATCTGCCAGGGTGTCAAGATGGGGTAAAAGATGGGGTTCTAGAACTTCGTGGATATAACGCTGCGCGTTCATGTTACCTCTGTTGAAGATTAAAGGTGACCTGGAACCATAAGCTATAGCACCCCAAACCATAACTCCAACAGTGTGATGAACATGTTTTTCAACAAAAAACTGTGGATTCCTCCTTTCACCACGTCGACTTTTAACCCTGGCACGACCATCGTGCATGCCTAAACAAAATCGAGACTCGTCACTAAAGACAATACTGTTCCATTCCTGATCCCAGAGTGACCGTTGTCTGCACCACTAAAGGCGATTACGTCGGTGTTCTCGAGTTAAAGGGAGGACCCAGTGTGGCCGGTATGAAAACAAGCCAAAACTTCTCATTCGTCGGTAAACACTTCGCATGCCAATAGGTCTTCCGTGTTCTGCAAACCATTCATTTGCAATGGACCTAGTAGTGGAAAAACGGTCCCTTAAGGCCAATAATCTTAGGCGGCGATCTTCACGGTCTGTTGTTCTACGGCGGCGTCCAGTGCCCCTTGCTCTTTGCGTACGGCCTTCTCGAAGCCATGCCTGACAACACCTAACCACAGTGTCTAAACTTCTTTGCACTCTAACTGCAATTGCCCGAAAAGAAAGTCTAGCTTCCCGAAGTCCCACTATACGGCCCCTATCAAACTCACTAAGTTGACGAAATCGTACAGGTCTCCGTACTCTAGGCATCGTAACCGATCGTAAAGGATGTCAAGAACCAAAATCCGCCAAAACAGTATAAAAACCGGAATGTCCAACTGATAAGACTGAAAATTTTTTCACTTGTTATTTACAGTAAGATAAATACATTCACCAACTTTTATTAAAATAAAACCATTTAAACTGGGTGTTCGGATTTATATGTCACTTAGTATATATCTGACTTCTCCTCCACTCTATGAGTTCAACTTCCTATCTGTAGTTTCTTGACTTTCAGTTCATGTATGGCTCGTTTCAGTAGACGTCGCACATTCAATGACTTATCTCTGCAAGAAATATGACATCCACAAATTATGATCAGACGTAAATATTCAATGTTAGCACGCAACCACCGAACGTTTTTTAGTCTGGTTGTGAACAGGACGTTCTTGGATCGTTGGAAGACTTGTTTAAACTGAGATCGACATTTGCTGAAATTCAAAAACCTATATGTTTCCATTTAAGGATTATTATATTTGTAGGACTCGTAACAAAAGGAATAGCATATTGCTGAGATCACGCTAGACACATCGAAATATTGATAAGAGTAAGTGGAGCGGCATCTGTGGTTGAAAGCAAACAAATCCCATTTTTTAACTGTAAGAACTATATTTGAACCAGGTACTCATGAACTTGAACGGAGATCGTGATTTACAAATGTATATTTTTTATGTGTAAAGCCAAGTAACTTTGATAGCCTTACCAGCGCTACGTCAGTGGCAGCTAGTCCTTTTAGAGCATGGTTATCCTTCTAGTCACGAACTGTCTTGTCCTTGTATTACTTCCTACGCCACTAAAATGAGATACTATGATTTTTGGTTGTTATCTGACATGTACATCGTAATTGTCTTTTTCTCTCATCGGATCTAAATTGCGTTGATCCTTCAAGAGCTGATGATGGCGATGCATAGGAAGTGCAGAGTCAACCTACTTGTTGCCATTTTTTCTTCATCTTCATTTTTCTTGACTTCTATATGGTGCCTCGAATTTTTCATGATTATAGTCCAGTTTGAAATTTTGTCTCTGTTGACAGGTAACAGAATTTAATTTTTTATGTAATTACTTTTTTCCCCGGGAAAAAAATATAAGTTCTTTTTTCCTTGATATTGTATTAACAACACATAAGCAAAGGTTAGATATTTAATTTCACAATATTTCATTATACAATAAAGTTACATTTCCTTTATATCAAAAGTACAATTGTTAAATGTGCATTGCATGAATGACACGTTCCTTAAACTATTCGGTACAACAGTCGAATTTTCTTGTGTTGAAATTATATGTTTTTCTGCCATCACAACTCCCGTTGACGTAATTGGTCGCAAATACGGTGTTATTTCAGCACTACCACACGTTCTAAACACTTTATTAGCTATTTCTGTCCTGTGTGCTACCGATTCATCATCATCCAACCGCCATGTTTCTTTAGTGTCATCAAGTCTCCCCCACAACCTGATTGATACATTTTCCCTTGTGATATGCATAAAACAGGCGGCGATCCTTTGCTGCTGCTGAACGAAGGGCCTGTACATTTGATAAAATTTAATATATTTTCCAGTAACTACAAATCTCCTGTTTACATCATTCTTTGTTTCCTTAAGTTTCACAATTAATAACGTTCCCGAAACTTTAATATCATCTAATGTTATCTGGCTGATTTCACAAATTCGACAGACTCCTGCAATCCCAAATACAACAACAACCTTGGTCATCAAATAAACCTCATCGGGAGCATTATTTAAAAAATCACTAATTTCTGTGCTCGTAAAAATCTCAGCTTTCTTGGGCCTGTTTTTTGTTTCAGAAATGTAATTAGTTTGAATTATTTTGAAATGTCTACATTATAATTGGATCGTAACGCACTTTGAATCATTGAATAATTCGACCACACTGTTGATGGCTTTTGTTGTTGCGTCAATTCCGAAAAATAAACCAATAACACCGTCTCCGATAAAAATCTGCATGTTTTTTTCATCTTCCATTTCATGAATCTTGAATACGCGGTTTCGTAAATTTTCCGCGATTTACCTGGCAATAATTTTTGTGGCGCTATTTTGGCTACTTCTACTAATTCCGGTGGAGTCAAAGAAAACTCGGAATCAGACATTTTTTACTTTATAGTATTAAAAATAACTTCTAAACAACCACTAAGTTCACAATTTTTAAATCAAATCACAAAATTAAATTGACAGCTATTTGATTACTTTAAAAGTTTCCTTAGCAGCGCAGGTCTAATTGTCGCTAGTACAACATGACCTACTAATTTCAAAATTCCAATTTCACATTCACAATTTTCTGACTTGAATATTGTCATAATATAATTTTTCAATATTAAATCGTCGTTTTTCCCAACACGGAAAAAGATTGTGTATTATACACGGGAAAAATACTAGATTTTAGTGTTCGGAATTGCAAATCAAAATCATTTTAAGTATTGTTTGAAAGATTTTTTAATAACCATAATATCTGTGAGTTTATCAGTGTGTAAATGTTGTTTGTTATCTTGTTTCATTTATAGTTTTGTTATGTCTCTGTATATAGCTGCTCTCTTGACGATTTCTGTACAAGCTTTGTTTGCCTGAAGAAAAATAAATTATTATTATTATATCTGATTTTCTGATCCAAATTTCAGTGTCAGTTCTTTGGTGGTGATTCGGTGTTCATTTTTTATTGCAGAGGTCTCTTTGTATCCTTAACATGACACCGACACTTTCGTGCCTTGATGGATTACAGTTAATGAAAACATTTCGTGGTTTAATCAGGACTGTTGGATGTGCTGGGTTTTAACAGTAGTGAAAAAATCAGATGTGGCTATCGAGAAAGCACTGAGTCTTTCTTATTAAGAAAGGTTGGATAAACGACAAATGTCTAGATTAGACGAGAGCATTGGTGGTACATGTGTAAAGATGTTGAATGGTTTATGGTCAAAGGTCTGCCTGTCTTTGCCATCTGTTTGCAAATTATTGTTATTCTATACCCAGAAAAGTGTAATTCGAGTGTTATAACTATCTGAGCTCTACGGTAAGGATGCGAAACGTTTTTTGCATCCAGGAAGGAGCGTTCGACTAGTCACCAAAAAACTACTAATTCTGGTTCCGAAATCTTACTGAGAAGTGGGTCTAGTAACAGGCACATTGATAAAAAAATAAAAATATTACTGACAAATGGAAATTATCTAAACATTGTTTTTAAGCGTCAGTGAACACGAATTTCTCAGTAATCAACACACGTTAATTCTTGACAGATTCAAAATGGGAGATGTTAAATGAATTGGCCGGCCGTCAGCCGTGACTATATGCGTGTAGTCGGTATGACAACGAGTTACATAGCGCAGTATCAATATCGCGTGCTAGAATAATCAAGAATTTATATATGTGCAGTTGATAAAATTATGACACTCGTGCTACTACTATGCCAAGGACGCAGTTTTTGAAATTCGATAACACGAAAAAAATAAAAATCGCGCAAACATCGTTTTTTGATACATCAGAGGCTTCTGATCATTTTCAGAACATTTCTTTTGGCCGCAGTATTTTTCTATACACTTCGAACCCCTATTAGTTGTACGCACTGTCATTACATTTTTCACACTTCATAGATTTCCCCGTACATTTGTACTTAAAACTTAAGAAACTACCATTAAATGGGTGGGGACTTTGGAGTATGGACTAATTGCATGGGCCTGTTTGGCTCACTTGATCCATTCATTGTTATACATGTTTGTAGCTAGTTCAGAGGGACTAACTTGTGGTGAATATAATCGTTTATGAGCTGAAGACAATGCTGGCTCAACCGACTTGACACGATTTTCTAACATCATTTGTATTAGATAGTAGATGGGATGTCTATCTCTTGGAAACATCAGTGGTATGATTGTTTTAAGGTAGTTTTCAAGTTCAGTCAACGCATAAACATATCGTGGTTTCAGCCACCATGTTTACGATATTGAATAGATATATATTTAAACATTTAGTATCATCAACACCGGAAACCAGGAAGCGATTTATCACAAGTGCCGTAAAATGCAAATGACTGCTGCTGGAAGGCCCGCGCCTGCCCGCATCCACAGCCTACCTTGTTTTCCAATTAAATACATAATCACCGCCTAGTCCCACTGGGGATTTGTGAATGATGAATCACACGGATCTGTTTTGCTTTGCTTTTGTTTTGCTTGGTTAGACTAAGGAATTAGATGCCTAAGGGACCCAGTTAACTAGAAGAGCTTTAATTAGGAGAGCAGTGTTACTGTTTTCTTTTTGGGGTGTACTTGTCGGGTGTGAGTGTGGATCAGACAGAGCGGTATTTTTACGCATTTGATGGAATGCATCATGAAAGCATTTCTCTTTCGAGTCATACCCAATACTGAATCATAGGAGCAATTAAAAATAGCTACAAATCATAGACCTCTCCCACCATCCATTATATTACGTTATTTATAGTAGAATCAAATTAGCTGAAGAAATTGAATGAATTTTAGAAGAAGAAAATACTACAGTCTCCTGAATGAGATCTAGGCAAGACCGATATAAAACATCTCAGGGATATGGATATCAAATGTAATTTGTGGTTTCTGCGAGTATTCAGTCCTTTTGAAAAAGAATAAGTTACTTTTTATAAAAATGCATGTCTGCAAAATTGGTCTACCCAGTTTATCGAGAGTTTTAACCGATTATCGTAGGAATCGCTCATTAAAAGCTGTATTGCACTTTAGAGTTAGATTATATTTTGTCATTTTTCGCAATATGGGCGATATTACGGTTGCAGAGAAAGCAGCAAATTTCCTATTCTCTAATTCTTTTAAGTAATAATATTTTGTGAATATTGGAAAGTCAGTTTCGTGATTTAGCACCTAATACGCCGTAATTATTTCGATTAACGCTGATCAAACTTCTATTTTTTTTTTCATCAGATTGTAGTCGTGAATTATTGCACCTGGTTTTAGAATACTATCTACCAGTATCATGGTATGTTTACAGAGGATGACATAATTCATGTTAAAAGATAAAACAACTTTGACTTGAAGGATATTTCACGGATTTTCAAAAATAAAATGTCGAGACAACTTCCAGTTTATATACTAAGGGTTATCAACTTAGGCAACGTAATTACAAAAACAGTGGTAACATTTCTAGAACAGAAATCACATAAAACGCAACGCGTTCAGTTCTTATAAACAGGTGTCACTTTGCCTAGATATAGGGTATTATAAATTTCTATTCCATTGATGAGACTGACTGAGGATAGAACAAAAACATCAATATTACTGATATAATTCCAACATAGAATTTTCATTGCAAACTTTTAACAAGTTTTTACGACAGTTTTTATAAAAACACTGTGGAATTTTACCCGAAATACTCAACACATTCTCCTAAAAAAGTGGTATGACATAATTTTAGCGGTTACAAACTATGTCCCATTAAATTCCTCATTCATAGTTGCAATGCAAGTGCGGAAAAGTGAGTGGGGTAGAAAATATTCGTCTTTTTTAAGTGGGGAACAGGTCTCCACGACTCTGGTTCAGTCTTGTGCTACTTGATGAGTGTTACTTAAGGTGTTAGCACTACTTATAAAAGTATCTATGCCGTTTATCGAACCTTTTTGTGTCATTTTTATACAGGGTGTTTTAGTTTATTGTTGCATAACTTTAAGATTCGATAGAACTTTTAAAATTAATGCATAAAGTCTATATAAACATGGGTCGAAAAATGCGTGGCTTCCGAAATACAAGGTGTTTAAATTTACTTTCTAAAATATTTTTTTTAAATATTTCGAACAATATTTGATGTATAACAGTGAAAATTGGTATACAAGTGTTGTTTGGTACGACAAAACGAACCATAGGAATAGTTTTACTGTAGCCGCTAGAGGGCGCTCTCTACTGTACCTGTAGTGTATTAAAATGACCGACAATTTTTTCTTAGTGCAATTTTTTGCTTTTTGAATAAAAAAACTGATTCTTCGCACTTTTCAACATAAAAAAGCTCTCCTGTGAGTTTTCGTTATAGTTATCCGTTTTTGAGATATTTCGATTTTTAAGGTTCGATGCATTTTTAATTATTTATGGGAAAATAATTTTTTTTTTACATTTTCGATTTGGGCATTACAAGTAATTAAGATGATCGTTTAGATTGTGTTTTTAAACACAGCAAATAAACACAAAAAAACAGAATATTAATTTGTTTAATTTTCCAATATTATTTTTAACAAATTAAATGAATATTGGATGCTATTGGATAGTTAGGACAAACATACAAAATCTAAAGTAGTTGCTCGAAACTAAACCCAATTGTTCAATACACAATTCACATCTACGAATGATCGAACGTGGAGCATTATTCAAATAAGGCCTTATTTCATCACATGCATTCCTGATTCTGTCTATTAGCATATCTCTTGTGGTTACGGGAGTCTGGTACATTTTTTCTTTTAGAAATCCCCACACAAAGAAATCTAATGGAGTTAGGTCAGGGGATCGTGGAGGCCAGGCCACTGGTCCTCCACGGCCGATCCATATTTCTAGA